TCACTATTTTCATTCCATCCTGTACTGGAAACACACACACAGAAATGACTGGATCCAAGTGGGGAGCGAGTGGCCCAAAGGGAGAGAAGGGAAAGAATTGCAAAACCCAGCAGAAGGCAAACTGTTGTCTGCTGAGACCCCCCACAGCTCTCCCAAAGTCATATCTTTCCCAGAGTACCCAGCATGTCTTGCCTGAATGGAACAGGACATTTCAGCCCAAAGCAGGCCATGCTTGCGAGCAGTATTTGCTCCAGAGCTCCTCAGCGGTATGGTCAAGGCTCTAGCAAGCTTTTGTTGCACTCTTGATTTCTTCCACTGCCCACTCTTACCTCTTCACTCTTCCTTTTATAGGGGTTCATCCTTAATAAACATCTTGCACCTCAAACTCTATCCAACATCTCCCAGGGTTCAGTCTGAGTGCTTTGTACGCCACTGCAAATTTTATAAAGTCTTTGGAGTCTTATAAAACCCATTTGTCCCAATAACACTTCTAAAGACATCCATATTTTTAAAAGAGAACACTATACTGTGTGCCTCAGAACACACTCACTGTAAATGTTTGAAGCCAGTTCTGCTTTTCTACCTACTCTTTCCCACTCACCCTTCACCCAGGCTGCAAAAGAAAGGCATACCTCTTACTCATACTAATCATGATTTATTGCCCCGAGGATAAAAAAATTTCTGTGTACCAGACACAAAACAGGTAAGTTTTTGTGTCTCATGTTTATGGGCATTAAGGGCAACGCTAGGAATTAGAAATAAATATTCTCGCCCATGCTGAGATGTTCTGAATCCTGGTATACTGTAAAGACAGGTAAAGCAGAATTTATGACAATTTTTGTTTAAAGACCTTCTGTCTTATTATTATTAAAAAAAAAAAAAAAACCCACAACAACAACAAAAACAGCCTGGCTCTTGAGGGAGAGTCCTGAGAACAATGCAAAGAGTGTTAAGAAATACTAATAACCGCATCTTATCTAGGCAACAAACTTATGCACAGCTCTACACCTGACCCATTCATCTGTGAATTAGGCTGTGTAAGAAGAGGCCAGGGTTTGTTAAGGTAACAAGCAACTCCTTAATCTCAGCCCCTTAAACCAAGAGAGGTTTATCATTCATTCATGTTACACCAGAGGCAAATGAGAAGGCTGTTAAGGTGGCACTTTGGGGAACACTGCCAGCAGTTGTGTCAGAGCTGAGAGAGCATGGAGCATCCCAAACCAGGAATTAAATTCTCAGCCCAGAAGGGACACACAACACTTCCACCTTACTGGTCAGACCTAGTTATCTAGCTCCATTCAACCACGAAGAGGATGTAAAATCCTAAAGAAAGCATAAGGCAAGAAGCTGGAAATACTGTAAAAGCATAAATGCTAACATGGAGTATTTAAGATCTATAAAAAGCATGCTAGGAATTATCAACTGGTTTCCAAGAGCAGTCTCCCTGCATTTTCAGTATTCTAAGGGAAGGAAGGAGTTGACAACGCATTCACCCATGATTCAGTGCTTCTCAGTTGCGTATTCTGCCTGATTTCAAAAAGAGAGATGAAACTTCTTTTACCTCTAACAGATCAACAGATCAACATTACACCTCCAAGTAAAAGGAATGTACAGAAAGTAAGTTGGTGTTCTTAACTTTCTTGAGAGCAATTTAGAATAATTTTTCGTTAATTAAAAAAAAAGGGGGGGGGGCGCCTGGGTGGCTCAGTGGGTTAAGCCGCTGCCTTCGGCTGGCGTCATGATCTCAGGGTCCTGGGATGGAGCCCCGCATCGGGCTCTCTGCTCAGCGGGGAGCCTGCTTCCTCCTCTCTCTCTCTGCCTGCCTCTTTGCCTGCTTGTGATCTCTCTCTGTCAAATAAATAAAATCTTAAAAAATACTGGATATTACTTAAAATACTTAATACTTAAAAAATACAGGATACTGTAAATTCGGGGTCACATTTTTACTTGGCTGCAAATATGCTCATCAACCATTTCTCTGTTCCTAACTGGCACGGTTAGTAGATTCTACTGCATTCAGCTTTTCACGGTCACGAATACACTCCTTTAAGCTCCACGTTTAATTAATGGCTACAACCAGTTCCTGGATCAAAAAACCTAGGCGGTTTGTGGCACCGCCCGGAGAACTTGGGCTCCGAAGGAGTCTCGCAGTCTCGCTGGCTCCACCCTGTGGCCACCCGTGCACACTGCCACCTTAGCTCGCCTCCCGCTCTTCGCAACCTTCCCCCAAACCTGGTGAGAGATCTTCCCCAGAGCCTGCAGCGGCGAGAAACGGCCTTTGGCATGTGTCGGCGGCCGGGGCGGCCGACGGGGAGAGGAGAGCAAGGAGTCGTGAGTGTCCCATTCGTCCCGGTACCCAGAAGAGCACCCAATTCGTGGGCGGCCCCCCAAACTCCGAAGTAGTTACCAGTTCGGGGTTGGCAAATGTGACATCCCGATTCCCCACTGCGCCGGGTCTCCAGCCGCAGGAAGTACGGCGGGAAACCAAAAAGTGCGGGTTGGCTGGCGGCCTCCCGGAAGTGCGGAGCTGAAAAACCCCTCTCTAGGCCGGCCTGGGGCCGACCCTCCTGCTCGCAGACCTGGCGGTGGCGCCACCCCACGGAGAGGAGGACTATGACTGGGAGACCACGGAAGGGGACGGGCGCTGAACTGCCGGGAGACCCAGTGGAAAGGTGGCTGGAGGAGACGCCGCGGGGAAGGAGCAGGTTAGGAGTGAATGACGGCAGTTCATTCAAGCACAGATGACTTTCCTACCAGTTCCACCACCATCAGAGCCAGGAAGGGACCCCGGGCCTGCAGAACCAGCTGGGCAGTGGGCAGGGAGACCGTAGGCCCTTCAGGGGCCGCTCTGAAATGCCTTCGGACATCACATGGCTTCTCCCAAAGCCGGTCCTATCCCGGGTGATCAGAGCTTCCAGGACTGAGTACAAGGCCCCGGAGGGATTGGTGCAGGTGGCAGGGAGGAGGGTGGTAGGTGTGGAGGGAAGGAGGGAGGGAGGAAGGGAGGATGGGAGGATGTGCTTTCATAGCTTTGAGACTGCTCAGGGACAATACCCAAAAACCTGCTGGACATATCATGGCGCTCGGGCACATTCTGTAATCCCCAGGGCTTGCAGAACTAAGCACAACATCCCAGAGGAGACAATCACAGCAGAACAGGCAATTGGTTATGAGAAGGGTGGTTCAGTTTTTCATCTTCCAGGCTCCACAGGGAAAGCCCTAAACTCATTCCAGCTTCTAAAGGAGTTCAGGCCCATTTGTGTTACTAGCCTGAGAAGGAAACCTCAGGGCATATGGACTGGTTTGGGGTAAAGTGGGAAGAGTTGGGTCCATTTTACGTCTTTCCTGGCTACCGCACAGTTGGGAGAAACCCTAGAGCCTCTAGATTCAGGAATCACCCCCACCTCCACCCCAGAAGCCAAAGATAACCAGACCTCCTGAAAACCAGATGGAATGGAGGCATAGCTGGCAGTTGGCTGGAAGGGGACCAGCAGTCCTCACTGCCACCAGGCCAGTTGGAGATAGAGCCCATGGGCACCAAGGGTTGGACAACAGTGGAAGCATGGAAACCAGTTAGGAATCCAGGTGACAGACAATGGTAGTTTGGACTCAGAGGGAGCAGTGGAGGTGTTGAGAAGTGCCCAGAAAACGTGCTGATTTGATTAGATGTAGTGAATGTGGGAAAAAGAGGAACCAGAAACAACTTCTAGATTTGGGCCTAAGCAATAAACTGATTCCACTGACTGAGACCAGGAACTGCGAAAGAGCAAGTTGGTGTAACAGGAGAGAGGAGTAGCAAGAAGCAAAAGTTTTGTATTGGACATGTCAAGATTCCTATTTAACTGTTGAAAAAGCAGTGGAGTTCAGAGAACAATTTTGAAGTAGAGATAAAAATTTGAGAATCATCATATATATATATGGCATTTAGAGCCATGGGATTAGAAGAGACAATGTAAGCAGAAAGCACAGATAAGGGTCTAAGGCTGAACCCTGGGGTGCACCAAATTTTAAAGGTTGTATAAAAGCATTGGCAACAGAGGATGTTGACAAGGAATAGCTAGTGAAATAGAAAAACAGAAAAGAAGAAAGGCCTCAAAAAAAAATCAGTGATAAACTATGTCAAATTCTCCTGAGAAGACTACTGGATTTGGAGTGGGATTGCATTAACTATATAGATTTGGGGTGTGATAGTGAAGGAGAGATACGGACATCATTGTATACATACATATACATACATATGTATACATACCTGACTTTCTAATTCATGAACATGGTATAACTCTCCAATTTATTTATATCCTTGCTAATCTCTCTCAAAAATGTTATGATTTTCTCCCTAGAAGTTTTGTTCATCTTTCCATTAGATTTGTTCCAAGGTTTTTCATTTTTGTAAGTTATTATAAACAGTATTGTTAAAATCTTAAGAAGTGATTATTACCAATCTCATTGTTAGGAGAATTTAAAAACTGAAAGACCCTAAGAGAACTGTCTATTAAGCTTGGCAATGGGAAGCAGGATGTAAAAAAAAAAATTCTAGTCAGTTGAAAATCTGGACCTCCAGAAGGTCTTTTAGGTATAGACTTCCTTGGAATGCACACTGGCAGTCAAATGGGAGCCAATAAAATTGTTTGCTGTCCTTACTTTATTCCTTATTTCTAGGTTTGTTTCTAATTGTAGGGTCCAAATCCCTAGAGGGTGAGAAGCTCATCTTTCTGCCTTCCCCATTTCATCTCCATACCACATAAAGTACATGTTACTCCTTACCTCCTCCACTTAAGAATAAGTTGTGAAGGGACGCCTGAGTGGCTCAGTCGGTTAAGCATCTGACTTCGGCTTAGGTTATGATCCCAGAGTCCTGGGATTGAGTCCCACATTGGGTTCCTTGCTCAGCTGGAAGCCTGCTTCTTCCTCCACCTCTGCCTGCCTGTGCTTGTACGCATGTGCTCTCTCTCTCTCTCTCTCTGACAAATAAATAATTAAAATCTTTAAAAAGAAAAAAAAGAATAAATTGTGAAGAGAGACCATGTGTTAAAGGGGAAGTTTCCCAAACACGATGAGCGAGTTAATGGAGACAGAATATCTCTAAGAAAGACTCAAAATAATTGGTTTACACATTCTGAAAAAATAAATTCTCCAAATGTGGTTCTCCGTTAGGAGATAATTTTGAGGAGGCCATGGCATGATCTCTGGGGAATCAGCTCTGGAGTCTGGCTGTGACTTTGAAGACCATTTCTTCTGAAAGGGCAGAAAAAGGCCTGAAAGAGAAGAACTAGACATTTGCAACAGGTTCGTAAGTACCATATGTATTTTAGAAAATAGTAATTTCCTAACTTGAATTCAGTCACATCTTGACATTTCACAGGCTTTGGGTCCAACACACTAGAATTCAAATCCTAACCGTGTACCTAACAGCTCCCAGTTTCTTATCCCAATTACTCTTCATTCCACTTTGAAATCTATATTGTGGCCCATAATATCTAACTTCTATGGATTCGTTTCCTTACCAAACACTCTTTTATTGCTTTGCAAGGCTTATTTCACTTAATTTTTTTTTAAGACTTATTTATTTTAGAGACAGAGTGGGAGGGAGAAGCAGAGGGAGAGAGAGTCTTAAGCAGACTGTGTGTGGAGCATAGAGCCCGATGCTGGGCTAGATCTCACAACCTGAGATCATGACTTGAACAGAAACCAAGAGTTGAATGCTTAACCAACCACACCACCCAGGCACACTTAGTTCACTTAAACTTAATAGTATCTGTTGCTTTCTTTGCCTCATAATAATTGCATGCGGATTTTAATCTTTTTTCTATTATCTTGATCCATTTATATAAATATTGTCTCTTCCCTCAATGTCTGGTGAAACTCTCTGGACCTGGTAGACCTAAGGATAGGTCTTTGCCTATTTTTTCAGTTTCTCCTTCAGCTATTTTTATTCAGTCATTCTACCTTTATTCTTTTTTTTTTTAAGATTTTATTTATTTATTTGACAGACAGAGATCACAAGCAGGCAGAGAAGCAGGCAGAGAGAGGAGGAAGCAGGCTCCCCGCTGAGCAGAGAGCCCGATGCGGGGCTCGATCCCAGGACCCTGGGATCATGATCTGAGCTGAAGGCAGAGGCTTTAACCCACTGAGCCACCCAGGCGCCCCTCATTCTACCTTTCTTAAGGCAACTTTGATCACTTATATTAAAAACTAAATATTCTGTCTACATTTGCAAATCCATGTATTAAAATACACATACCATTTAAAATATCTTCTATATTTGATGTTGCTGGTATAGTAGTGTACTTTTTCTCTTTCAATATTAAATTACCAAAGGATTAACCCTTTAACTTTCTCTCAATGAACCAGATTTTGGCTTAATTGATTCTATTTTGGGGGAGTGAGGAAGTAATATCTATTCATTTCTGCTTCAGCCCTAATTTATGCCTCTACTTCCCTCCTGTTTTGGTGTCCCTTTATTCGGTGTTATGTTAAAAGTTTACTTCATTATTTTTAATAGTTCTCATTATCTCGTAAATGCATTTTTTTAAAGATTTTTATTTATTTATTTGACAGAGAGAGATCACAAGTAGGCAGAGAGACAGGCAGAGAGAGAAGAAGGGAAGCAGGCTTCCTGCTGAGCAGAGAGCCCGATGCGGGACTCGATCCCAGGACCCCGAGATCATGACCTGAGCCGAAGGCAGCGGCTTAACCCACTGAGCCACCCAGGCGCCCCTGTATTCTTCAGTTTAACCATAAATTGTGCAGTTGTTGCATTTTAAAGCTATGAATTTTCCTCTGATCTCTACATATAAGTGCTATCTTTGTTATTATTGTATACAAAAAGTATATAATTTTTATTTTTACGTCCTCTTTAGTCCTTGTGCTTTTTCCTAACAGTATAGATCAAGAAGAATATTTTAAGTTATGTCCTTGCATTAGGATTAGTGAATGTGTCTCATATACTTTCAAGTTTTTCAACACTTGTTGAGCTTCCATTTGTCATCTTTCACGTGGCCAGTTGTTATCAGTATTTATGTGAATTCAAAATGTATATTTTCTACTTTGGATACAAGATGGTGTGGGGGTAAGTATAGTTATGACTCATTTTGTTAACCATGTTCTTCAGATCCTCTATATCCTCAACAAGTTTTAGTCGACTTGATCTGCCAATGCCTGAGACTCCACTTTTCCCCGTTAGAAATGATTTGCATATACTAATCCAGAAAGATTGATCTGTTGTGCCCCGTTCCCATCTAAACACATCCCACAATCTTAATACCATGAAATACACCTCCCTTAGACTATGAAAAGTTTCTTAGGTTTTTTTCTGTAGGCCAGGGATTGAAATTCAAGTTTTACCTTACTTAACTCTCCTGCTAATCCTAAAATGGTGTTCTCTACACATAGTTGCTATTTCTGAAAAAAAATTTTCACTTAAAAATAATTTCTGTTGCCCAGTCCCTTAACAGTAATGTGAAAAACAAAAAACAAACAAACAAAAAACTATGAACAATTCAATAATTCAAACACTTAAAAAGACACCAGGGGAAAAGTCCCCTACAGAGACACTTCAATAAGCGAAATAACTTTTCCTCATTTTTCACAGTATAGCAGGCAGAGGAGTGCAGAAGCCTAAGGAAACAAGAGTATATTCACTTGTTGGAAGTAACCCTATTATATCTAGGTTAACCAGTGTGTCTTTCTCTTTCTCCTTATTCTACATGTTATATCGTGGGTCTTGAGTCTAGACATGCCAAACTAGATGAAACACATCTCCAGAAAGAAATTCAAGTAGTGCAAGGCCCAACCCTAGGATTGGGAATTATATTAAGAACACTGAACAACTTTTGCCCAGAGTTGTATCTGTGGTGTAGCTGAGCTATATTTCATATTCCTTCTTGGCCAAAAGAGTTTTCCTTCAATGCATTTGAAAATTAGAATCTACCAAGTAGAAACTAAAACTTAGACAAGGCTCAAACATCATTGCCTACAAAAACAAAGCTGAGGTCATAAGTCATCAACCTGACTCCACCAAGCCCATTTTAAAATACTTGATTTTAACATTGCCCAAATATTTGCCTATTCGGTCTCCTTTTGGTTATAAGGTGTGTCCTTCTCTGTGGTACCTAATAGTGTGCCCTAAATCATTTTTATTCACTTGCCTTGCTCCTGTGTTAAGTCCTTAAAATCCAGAGCTTTCAACTCAGAAATCAGAAATAGAAAAGAAGTATTTAAGGAAAGTATTTTATTTTTCCAGAGAACAATCGATGGGAAATTTTGCAAACATCATCTGACTTAAAATAAAAAGGTATTTGCCAGATAATATAGGTCTTTATAGAGCACTGCTAACAGACACTATAAATAAGGTCTTTTGTATCCTAATTCATTTTTTTCCTTCAGGACACATGGCAGATACTTGAAGTTTCTACAGAATCAAAGGCCTGACCAGTAAATTGTGAAATTGCCTTCTTGGATGATGTTTTAGAAAATGAAAGTCTTATTGCTCCAGTGTGTAGGAAGGTGACTCTCAAATCACTAGGAATCTCTTAAAGCCATACTTGTTGGAACAGGAAGAGTGCTCCGGAGATACAATGGTACCTGCAGGAAGTGCCTAACTACAATCATAAGGAAACACTGATCAAATATTTACTGTGTTCCAAGTACTCTACGAAGCGCACACAACACATTATCTCACTTAATCTCCATAACAAACCTATAAGGTAGGTTCCATTATTTTGCTCATTTTACAAGGAAGAAATTGAGAGTCAGAGGAGTAAAGACACTTTCCCAAGGTCATATGGCTCTTAGGTGGGAAGATTGGGACTCACCTTCCATGCCCAGCATGGAGCCCAACGCAGTGGGGCCTGAACACGTGACCCCAAGATGAAGACCTGAGTTCGGACCAAGAGTTGTTCGCTCAACCACCTGAGCCACCCAGGGGCCCCTCAGCCAGTATCTTTTGACTTTATTATAATCAGTTTGCTGTAACAGGTCCCTGGCTAGAGACCAGGGGTGGACTGTGACATAATAAGAAATATATATCTGGTCTCTGCCCCTGGTTTCTAACACAGAGCTCCTCAATCTCTTGGAATTTCCTTGGTAATGGGAAGGGTCTTTTGTTCTAAAGAGTTGGATTTTGTGGGCTCCTAGGAAGCTTCAGGATGGAAGCTGGTCATCAGAAAGGCCAAGCTATAATTAGAAGCTTGTAGCCCCCACCCCTGCCATCCTCCAGGGAGGAGAAGGGATGGAGATTGAGCCAATAATCCATCATGTCTACTTGATAAAGCCTCCATAAAAATCCCCAAACTATGGGGCTCAGAAAGCTTCCAGGTTGGTGCACACATACATCTCAGGAGGGTGGACACCACAGCTCCACAGGGACAGAAGCTCCCACACTTGGGACCCTTCTGGCCCTTGCCCTGTGTACATCTTCATCTGGATCATCATCATCTGTATCCTTTCCTATATCTTTTATAATAAACTGGTAAACATGTCCCCCAGGGTTCTATGAGCCATTGTAACAAATGATCAAACCTGAAGAGGGGACAATGGGAACCGCTGATTTGTAGCCAAGACTGACAGAAACCTGGGTAACCTGGAGACCCCCTACTGTGAGTAGTGTCTGAAGTGGGGGGTGGTCTTATGGGGCTGAGCCCTTACTCTGTGGTATCTGTGCCAAATCCAGGGAGGTAAGGTCAGAATTGGTTGGTGTGGAGAACCCGCGCATTTGGTAACTGGAAGTATTGAGAGTAGCAGAGGCAACAAAAGTTTTCTTTTACCCTCTTACTGCTTCTCAATCAGTGTAGGTTGGTATAAATATCCAACAACTTACACCGTGAAGCTTCTCAACTGGGTTATGGACCATAGCTGTTGCAACCTCAGCAGGGTTTGGGGAAATGTTACAAGCGGGAAGAGGGGTGCAGGATTATGACCTCTAGTCACAGAGTATAGAATGGTGGAGAATTTCATCTACCAAAATCAGATGATTAAAAAACTGAAAGAGGTTACAGAAAATTGGATAAAACTAAAACTTAAAAAAAAATTTCCAAAGGACACTTGATATATTGGTTACAAACAATATTCCAGAGAAACCTCATGGACTTGGGAAGGAGGATACCTCTATATCCCATCACCCATATAGGACCTGGCACATGTAAGTTCTCCTCATGGAATGTTCCTGAACCCTTCAGCCAGAGGCAACCTATCATTCTCCTTAACTCATATTTCCTTCTTGCCCGTCTTCTGGAAATAACACAATTTGCCTTGAGTTGTAATTATTTTTATTCTGGTGTAATCCCTTTATGAGATGTAATTACATCTTTTTATTCATCTCATTGCTTTGCTAATATATGTTTGATATATTTCTTTGATTACACATGAAAAGAAAACACACCCCGCTTTTATATTTCAAAAGTCTGTTCATGTTTGCAATATGGGATCTAGAATTTTTTTTTTTTTATCAAGTTTTCTATTTTTGCCAAATCATGATGGCTCAGCTAAAGTTAGGAAATGTAGAAAAAAATCACTATTAATTCTCCAAAACAGTCTTGTTCCTTAAGATTGACATTCTTTCATAACTCCTACTTTTTGCCCCTCAAAGAGATCATATAACTCATTTCCCATCTGTTGTCCTGTGCTTGAATTATAGTCACCCGAATTTAAGTATTTTGACTCTTAGATCACTTTGAGAAAATGGACCCAGTTTTAAAATGGAGGCATTTGTCTACAAATTATGACAAAGTTAAACGGTCATGTTTGTAAGTTTATACAGATACCACAATCCATTCCCCATTAGTTGAAATAATGACTAACCAGTCTTAATGACACTTGACCTAACCCAGACCAAGCCCATTTGCAATGCTCACTGGATCTGATATTTAAAGCTCCTTATCTTCATGCCACAGACTTTTTTCATCTTTTGGAATGCATCTCCCTCCTCATGGTTGTTTGCAGCACTGGAAAAGCAGCATCTAAACTAGGCTGGAAAAGCTCCAGTAGAATCCCATTGTATTGGTCATATAAAGTGAATAAAGGGAAGCAATCAAGTGCAGTACTCTTTCTGCCCCTCTTAGGAGTTTTTAATCTCCAAAAGTTGTTTTAACTGGGTCAGTAATTATTATGAGTGTTTCAGGTTAAAGGAGCAAGAAAATTTAGGAAAAAGTGGAGAAAAAAAAAAAAAGCCTATTGGAGTACATGAATGTACCACCTTCAGACCGATTTTCTAGCATCCTCTGGTCTGGGCAATCAGTCAACAAACTTTCCCTGTGATGTTTTTTGTTTTTTTAAGATTTTATTTATTTGAGAGAAAGCACGAGAGGGGCAGAGGAAGAGGGAGGAGAGTGAGAAAATCTCAAGCAGACTCAGCAGCTGAGTGGGGAGCCCAACTCAGGGCTTGATCTCATGACCCTGAGATAATGACCTGAGCTGAAGCCAAAAGTCAGTTGCTGCACCAGCTGAGCCATCCAGGTGCTCCAAGATGCTATTTTATAGGGGACACTAGAACAGCCTTTATGAAAATTCCCAAGGAGTAATTTTTTAAGAAAGTAAACCCTGGGGACGTCTGGGTGGCTCAGTCCTTTAAGCAGCTGCCTTCGGCTCAGGTTGTGATCCCAGGGTCCTAGGTTTGAGTTCCGCATCAGGCTCCTTGCTCAGCGGGGAGTCTGCTTCTCCCTCTGCCTGCTGTTCCCTCTGCTTGTGTGTGCTCTCTAACAAATAAATAAATAAAATCTTAAAAAAGTAAACCCGGTCTTCTATTAGAAGACAAACAAGAACGTGTAAAAACAAGGGGAAAAAATTAAGGAAAAAGGCTACCTAGTTCACAAGGCTATAGTTAATTGAAAATTCATTGTGCAAGGAACAAAGAAAGCCTTAAGAGTTAAAAGGAGAAAGACTTCCTGTGACCTAGAATGGAATGGGAAGGCTTCAAGGACCAAGATGTGAGTAACGGTACCAGCGGATGGACAGACTATGAGTAGTGTGAGAGCAACAGAAAGTAGTACAGTTTAGAAGGACCACCTAACAAAGGCACAAAGAAAGAGAAGAGGCAGTACAGGACAGTGGGTACTGCACTTTGGCTCTGCTAGAGATTGGAGGAAAACAAGCAACTGAAGGGGAAAGTTTTGGCCAGATGGCAGAAGACCTTTAGTTTCAGGATAAGGGGCTGAGGCTTACTCCTTTGGTCATGAGTAATTAATGATAGCTTTTGATTAGGTGAGCCAGCTGACAATGCTTTAACAACTTCCAAAGACCATGAGAAACATGGGTCACTCATCGAGGAGAGCCTGCAAGATCCAAGGGGAGGACACCAGATGGGGTCTCTGAGAGGCTGATAACTTGATGGAGTAGAACACAGACACCCTGGCCTTTTCACTTATTAACTTTTCCAACTATAAAATGTGCCGCATAAGGATTTCTTTCACTGGGAAATTAAAATTCTCAGTGAGTCATTCCTCTCGCCAGGGAAAATGACTCAGAAAAATCTTCATTTTCCAGGGAAAGAAATCATATACAGCCCATTTTATGTAACTTCAAGTGGATGTAAATTTGAACTCTTACATTATAAATAAAATTCATGGGACGCCTGGGTGGCTGTCAGTTGGGCGGCTGCCTTCAGCTCAGGTCATGGTCCTGGGGTCCTGCTATCGAATCCCCAATCGGGCTCCTTGCTTAGTGGGGAGCCTGCTTCTCTGCCCCTGCCTGCCACTCTGCCTGCTTGTGCTCTCTGACAAAATAAAATGTTTAAAATAATAAAATTTGTTTTAAGCACAAACTTGTCAAGCAAATTCCTTAATATTGATCAAGAATGGCTTAATTTCAAAGCTTGCCAAATGAACTGGAAACTTAGATTTTTCCTTTCACCTTAAGGGTACCTGTGGTTTGGTAAAGCATTCACCAGCCTCTGTCAGGATTAGTCTTGAATTATGCAAGTTTTGATCTAAGGGGTCTTTAGAAATTCATCCCATAGGTTAGTTGTGTCCTTTGCATACCATGCACCCCAAACTTTTTTTAAAGATACACCAGAGAACACTAAAAACCACCAAACTCCCCAGTCCCCACTTCAACCTGGCTTTATCAGGAAGTTCCAGGACAGGCACCCGGAAATGCATTTAACAAGCACCAAGGTGGTTTTTATAACCAGGGAACTGTTACAGAAAAACAAGTTCCTTGCCATGGAGAAGGTAATTTTCCTGTGCAGTGTTAAGTAATCAGAGTAAATCTGCGTTCTGCTCAGCTTTCACCAAGAGCAGTAACATTGACTATGAGGTGGGGTGGAAGGAAGATTTGAGCCAAATGAGAAATCCTGATGTAAAGGAAGTCTGGGAGCTGGGTCTACCAACTGCCGCACAAGGACTGGGGTTACAGAGGTGATGGACTCTTGTGGGGGGGGGGGGGGGGGGGGGGGAGCTGCCCTATGCATTTTGGAATTATCAGCATCCCTGACTTTTACCCACTAAATGCCGTTAGCATCCCTCCCCAGGAGATGACTTTGTCTCCAGGCTGGGACTAAATGTTCCAAAGGGTGGGAAGGCAGAATTTACCTGGCTGAAGGATTGGGTTAGGGAGAAAGTTAGGTAAGGAATGCTAAGTCGGAACTTACACATAGGTCAATAGACTAAAGCATATTGCTTTATTGCTCATCGTTCTTGACAGACACCTAGAAACGTTTAGGTTAAGGCAGTGGGAAATGGAGGGACTTCCACGGGTACGCGAAGAAAAACAAATTCCAGCTCACTTAGAGAAACTTTGGGTTGACATTTATAGACAGAAAAGTAGAACAGCACCCCCCACCTAAAACAAAACAACTTTAAACTAAGCAAACCTGCTTGCTCACTTACCTGTATCTAAGCTTCCATCGCAGACTCCGTATAACAAGGTAGAGACCATTTTGGGAACTCCGTATAACAAGGTAGAGACCATTTTGGGAACTAGTTTTTCCTTACCAGTAAGAGTCGTGCCACTAGGGGACATCACCACACGCAGGCTCCAGATTTTAAGAGCCATGGCAATCTTTACCACGGTCCTAACCTAGCCCCAAACCCAAATGTTCTCGGAGTTCACAGGCCCACCCCGCCTAACCAAAAGCCAGAATCTTCTAGCAGGTGTTCACAGCCACTTTCTGTGACAAATTAAGTGGCTCTGAAAAGAGCCGTTTGGGTCAAGTAGCTGTTCTATTGCGTCCTTTACGTGCCCTTACTTCGAGCTGGTGTACTTGGTGACCGCCTTGGTGCCCTCGGACACGGCGTGCTTGGCCAGCTCGCCGGGCAGCAGCAGGCGCACTGCCGTCTGAATTTCCCGCGACGTGATGGTGGAGCGCTTGTTGTAATGCGCCAGGCGGGAGGCTTCGCCGGCAATGCGCTCGAAGATGTCGTTGACGAAAGAGTTCATGATGCCCATGGCCTTGGACGAGATGCCGGTGTCCGGGTGCACCTGCTTCAACACTTTATACACGTAAACAGAATAGCTCTCCTTACGGCTGCGCTTGCGCTTCTTGCCGTCCTTCTTCTGCACTTTGGTAACAGCTTTCTTGGAGCCTTTCTTGGGAGCAGGAGCCGACTTTGCTGGATCAGGCATTTTTACAAGAAGAAACGCCACACGCCAAGAACGATCCGGACTATTTCCGAAGTGCTTGGTTACGCGCTACTTATAGAGCCTGTATGCAAATGAAGGCTCGCACACGCCTGCATTTTTATTGGTTAATTTTCAACAATGTCGTCATAGGGGGGTGGAGTCCACATAGATAAAGTGTCGGCTCATACTTCCTTAGTGGCTAGCAGAGTAAATGTATTCTTAGCCAATCAAAATGTTCCATTTCAGGCTACCCAATAGTTTCACCTGCTTGGGGCGTTAGAGGATGGTTTTCACTTTTCAGTCCTACGCCTGCGTACAAGAGATCTGAAGGAACAGCTGAAGACAACTTTCTCCTATTTTTGCACCGTTTTACTTCTCTAAGCTTTGTGGAAGTTTGTTTTGCTTTTTGGGTTTTAGAATACCTAAGCCCACGTCTAAAAAAAAAAAATCAGGTGTTTCCCTCAAATTCCTGTTTGCGCCGCTTAGATTATGCAATGAGGAACATATTAGGTCACTGCCTTTACAATTCTTAAGACACATAAACCAGGGAAAGGTTTCAGTATTTAAACAGGGACTTACATCTGGTTTAGTTCTCCCAACTGCGAAATCTGGCTGATAAACGCAGATTCCCATTCCAGCCGTTATCACAAACCCACATGGGAACCTTTCCACTTAATTTCTGTATCTGACGCTCCAGACCTTTAAGTAACTCCGCACCTAAAAAGCGGGATTGGCAAAAACGATCTATAAACCATTTCAGCTGTTCCCTCTAGCGCGCCAGCCGACTAAGTCACTGATTCTATGATATCACTACCCTAACACGTGAGTTGCCCCTGATGGCTCTACCCAGTGCACCCGTGCGCTATAGCAAGCCCGCCGCAGCCGAAAAACTGCACAGCTGCTCTTCATGAAAACGTGGGTGGCTCTGAAAAGAGCCTTTGAATAGGATGGAACCTCGAGCCGAGCGCTCACTCAAGCCCGCTCCCCGCGGATGCGGCGCGCCAGCTGGATGTCCTTGGGCATGATGGTGACGCGCTTGGCGTGGATGGCGCACAGGTTCGTGTCCTCGAACAGCCCCACCAGGTAGGCCTCGCTCGCCTCCTGCAGCGCCATGACGGCCGAGCTCTGGAAGCGCAGGTCCGTCTTGAAGTCCTGCGCGATCTCGCGCACCAGCCGCTGGAACGGCAGCTTGCGGATCAGCAGCTCGGTGGACTTCTGGTAGCGCCGGATCTCCCGCAGGGCCACGGTGCCCGGCCGGTAGCGGTGCGGCTTCTTCACGCCGCCCGTGGCCGGCGCGCTCTTGCGGGCCGCCTTGGTGGCCAGCTGCTTGCGCGGGGCCTTGCCGCCGGTCGACTTGCGGGCCGTTTGCTTCGTGCGAGCCATGATGTCTTACTGTTTTTTTCCGACGAGGGCGAGGCAGTCCTATTTATAGACGTATCCTTGTCTTGATTGGGCCAGAAGGGTTAGGAACCTCCAGAGTGTGATGTCATTGGCTAAAATTCAATCCTCTTTGCTCGGGTAGATTGTTATGCTAATCGGTCCCTCTTTATTCACCTTTCCGTACTTTTCTGTAATCTCACCGATCACGAACGTTTTTCTTTTTAGATCTTTCCTTTAAATTGTTGTCATTTTTGTAAGAGCAATTTTTAAAGTGTTTTCGCCAGCCTGGGATTTATTTTTTAACAGGTGCCTTCGAAATAAAAGCACGCCTTTCCATGAACTAGGTTTCAGCCTCCATTTCCAGTTAAGAGTTATTGTAACTCCAATCCCATAGCTAACATTTATTTACCGCCTGGCTCTGTGCTAAGCGCGTTAGCTGCATTACAGTACGACGGTGATTCAACAAAACAGTATGTAATGGAAGGAACAAAAAATTAAATTTACGTTTACCCAACTTCGGAACTCCGAAGTCGTGTGCGAATCAGCCGTAACCTGCAGGGTAGAGCCTTCCGCCTTTCCTTGGGTTTTTCACCTTGGAGTAGGGTTCCCTCCCCTCAATCCATCAATGGCCATCCAGGTCCTGTAGACGAGACGCTTCTAAGTCAAGGAATATAGGACCGGAAACGTTAATTTCTCCTTTACAAGGAGAAATTGTGAATAGTGAATAGTTTGTAAAGAGTAAACTTGCTTATCAGATTAAAAGCTATAATAAAATTTCAAAGCAAATAAATTATTCGTTGATCACTGAGTTGCTAACATATTTTCTTCAATAAAGTAGTTCCAGCTAAAAGTTTCACCTAAAAGTTTCATTTTTTCTATTCTCTATAAGAAAATTGAAGATCCTCTGCTTTTTAGTTATTTCATATGCTTTGAAGTATTGCTCAGAAAATTACATGTCATAAAACAAGTCATATAAGGTTACCAATGCTTAAAAAGTGTGAAGAGTTAATATATAACTTTTAATCATATGCTCATTCTATTGAAAGAGCATCGCATCCAAACCTTATAAAAAAGAAAAAAAAACACCCCTCAAACCTGTGAATACAGTCAGGTCCAACAAGCTTGAAACTTACTTTATGGTATCAATATGAATGATCATCTTCCTGATGAAGGCAGAATAAAAGTAATTTTGAGGGGATTTCCTGAACACTAAACAACCTAGAAACTTATTTTTATATCTTCAAGTGTCCCCATGGGCAGCACAGTCTCCTGCTCTAGGGAGACCTTAGATGTCCTGCAAAAGTGTAACTGATGTGAACAGCTGTCACCCCTTCCTGTGGTTGTTTTGTAATAATGATGAACATATAGAGAGCATGACTCAGTATTTAAAAGTTCTTCTACATACACTGTCTCGTTTAATCCCAACTCTGTGAAATAGATGCTATTTTCCCCATTCCACAGATAAAAAGACAGTCTCAGAGAAGTTATGGCTTGTCCCAGGCAAGTAACAAGGCCTGCATGATACCATAAAACAAAATAATGAACTTAAAATGGATTTCCAGTTTCATCAGGCTTGGTGCACATTTTAAAGCACTGAAGAATATTCCCATCCCATCCAATCAAATCCTCAGTATTTTTTCCCCACTGAACTGTTGCCATCAGAATAGGAAACCACCATCTGGGGATCTGGATGGCAGCCTAAAGCAGCTCACAATGGCCTCACATTTCTTTGCAGTGTTCTTTTTTAATATATGCATTCTTGGCCATGGCATTCATTTAGATATGAAAAAGATTGTTTACCTGTTGTTGGGGAGTAAAAACTTTACTCTACCCCTCGATTTTTTTTTTTTTTTTTTGGCTGGCCTAAGAATTAAATTGACATGAGACCAATTAATAGGAGAAAATCATATAAGAATATAAGAAAATCATACAAGAATATGAGACCCAAGGCAGTCAAGCAATTGAGGTTTATAAGCTATCCATGGCTAAGAAAGGGATCAGTCAGGGTCTGGGACTGCAAAGGGAAGAAAGACCTTTACAAGAAGATAACATGAGTTAATGTTTGGTGAACAAATGTTTGCTGGGCCATTGGGAAACAATGAGGTATAGAAAAGAATTTCAGTAAACAGACTTTGCTGGGTTCCTCCCTGTCTACCACACCTCGGGCATACTGTACAGTAGTTTTCTAGGGTCATACATAGTTCCCTTCCTAGAGCAGCTCCTCTATCCAAGTTCTTTTAAGCTGTTAGGAGGAAGGCAAAAAGAAAAACTTTTTGAGTCTTCTGTTTCCTAAAAATAATCAGCCTAAAATAATCTATGTGCCAAAGAAACACTTTTTGGGGGAGCTCCCCTACGATGTACTTTCATACAAAATCCCGCAGTCATGGGATGTATTTTGCCTCTATAAAATAGAGAATAAGAAAATTCTAAGAGTCTTCTTCTGGCTATCTTCAGAATAGAACAAGTTGTTATTTACAGATGCGAAGGTCAAGCGTGAAGATTATTTCAAGTTTAAAAAGCAATCAAAAGGGGCACCTGGGTGGCTCAGTTGCTTAAACATCTGCCTTTGGCTCAGGTCGTGATCCCAGGGTCCTGGAATCTAGTCCCACATTGGGCTCCTTGCTCAGCAGAGAGCCTGCTTCTGCCTCTGCCTGCTGTTCTCCCTGCTTGTGCTGGCTCTCTTGCTCTCTCTCTGACAAATAGGTAAATAAAATCCTTAAAAAAAAAATATATATATATATATATATAAAAAATAAAAAAGCAATCAAAACCCAGTAGATTCAAGAAAAGCTTTTTACCTCTCCTACATCTACCTAAAAAGAATTGAGATAGAGGGCCTGTTCCAGAAAGAGATCTGTCACCGTGGATAACTACCTTACACCATGAACTAGGTCTGGTAGACAGGGAGGAACCTAGCAAGGCCTGTTTGATCAAAGTCCTCTGTGTCCCATTGTTTCTGAGTGGCCCAGCACATATGTGTTTAGCAAACATGGACTCTTTTTCATCTTCCTGTGAATCACATTCCTTCCTTTTGAAGTCCCAGGCCCCTACTCCTTCTCCTTAGTTCATCTTACCTGCCTTTGGAATTTCCATGTCTGTGTAGATTCCTTGTACCTACAGAATTAAATGTGATTTTCTGTTAATCTGTCTGTCAATTTGATTCTTAGTCTAGGTAGAAGGTCCTTGAAGGAGACAGGAAATTCTTGCTCCCCAACACTTAGAAGTCACCTTTAATAACAGAATTCAGATCATAATCGTTTGATTTCCCCCGGTCTCCACCTTGGACAATGGAATGATTCCTGTGAGTGTTCTCAATACAGTACTCTATCAGAAGTAAATTTGGGATGCCTGGGTGGCTCGGTGAGTTGGGCCGCTGCCTTTGGCTAAGGTCATGATTCCAGGGTCCTAGGGTGAATCCCCATCGGGCTCCTTGCTCAGCCGGGAGCCTGCTTCTCTCTGCGCCTCTGCCTGCTTGTGCATGCTCTCTCTCTCTCTCTCTGATAAATAAAATCTTGAAAAAAAAAAAAAGTAAATTTGACAATGCAGAAGAATTTCTGATTTGCTGCTGCTGTGGGGAAAAGGGAGTATTTTTCTCCTACTAATATCTCTGAAATTTCTTTTGCCAGGAATAGTAAGAATCTGCAGTTTCCAGATTGAGCCCTGAAGTTTCATTATTTAGTGCTGAATGGGGGGGAAGAGCATATGAATGAAATCTTAACATTTGCCCCAGGAAATAAACAGATAAAAGAAAAGGATAATGTTTTGTATGTGCATGTGTTTGTTCTTAATATAAAAGTAATGGACTAAATTATATGTTCCAAGAAGACTGAATTTGTGTTCAGTCTTTGATTGCAGGACACCCCTGGGCTTCAAGTACCCTCAAGATGAGACTGAATCTTTGGTTTGTGGTTTGGGCCAGCCATGTGCCTGATTGACTTTCATCTTTTTTTTTTTAATTTTAATTTTTAAATCAATTATTTAACTGCCCCCCACCCCCACTTTCTGGTATACATCAGTTTCTTCTCTTAAGGGTCTATTTTTGGTTTGTCTCGCTCTCTTTTTTTCCTTTGTTCATTTCTTTTGTTTTTACATTCCACACATGAATGACATGACTTCCTTTAATCTTAGGTGGCCCTTAGCCCTGGACCAAATTCAGAAGCCAGGGGCTTTTGACCTTCTTTCCTTAACTCCATTCTGAGAACAAGTCATACCCTCAACACCTTGCTCATTGGATGAAAACTTCCCCCTTTTACCTTAACACTAGTCCTTGTTCTATGCAGTGAGGGGTGGCATAGGGAAGGAAAGTTTTCCTCAGTCCTCTTCGGGTACCCAGCTGGTAATTAAATTACCCAGCTGAAAATTAAACCAACAAAGACAGAACCAACAGCGGAAGAGAACACACAGGTATTTAAAACAAGTTTTATGTGATGTGGGAACCTTCCTAAGGAAATGGAGATCCAAACAGTTTGACCGGAGTATTTTTGTGCTCGCTGTGAAGTGTAGGCACTCCAAAGAAATGCAGTAGGGTACAGAGTATGAAGTAAGTCTAATAAGCCAGAGAAGGCAACGAGTCCTGTTTGTTAGGTTTCTTCTGTGGGTCCCTTTGTCTTTAGAACCAAAGATGCTCCTTTCCTCATCTGTCCCTCTAGTCCTACAGAGAAGCCACAAGAAGCTTTTATGACCTGTTTCAAGGGAGAAGGCTTTGGAGGGAAGTTGACAATGACCTGCCTGCTTATATTCCTTTCTCAAGATTTCTTCAGCTTAAAATATTTAATATGCATGTCCCAAACCCCGTCAGTGACAGAATATGCCATCCCTAAATTATTTGGCATTTGGCACATGAATTATTTTGAGCTAAAGGTACATGAAAAACAGCAGGTGCAAGAAGTATGTTCTGACCTCTGTTTCTTTCCTAAAAACAGGAGACTAAACACCCACATGGAAGATGTCTTCCCTATACCAGGAGGAAAACAGCATTCTTTTCACCGAGGATGGGGAGTTGA